TTAAACATTACATATAATTTGGTGACCTCCTCTGTGGTCAAGTGGGCAGAGTTGCTGCCTACAGATCCAGAGGTCCGGGTTTGACTCCCAGCTCTACCAGATTTTCTGAGAAGTAGTGGATATGGAACTGGGTCCACTCAGCCTCGTGAGGATAATTGAGCAACTATTTCAAGGAAATAGCGGCTCCGGTCTAGAAAACCGAAATTAATGACCGTGGGGATTCTCTAAATGTTATACACCATCGTCAGAAACCTATAGTAACTATCGTTGTTTTTGTTCGATCAGGAGTAAACATGAGAAAGGACACAAACTTGTAGCTCAAAGCACTGAAATATTCATTGGAGGAGAAAGCGAGAAGTGAAACCTCGGTCCTGCTGACTTCATTATTTATTCATTGTTAGAGCGCTCGCTTCTACCCTCGTAAAACTGACCGCGGCTCAGACTGCGGCTCTAGAATATTTAGAGGACAATTGTAGGAGGCAGCTCTACACCTCTCATTCTCTCCGCCATTTTGAAACGAGATAGAAAAGACAGTGGAAATGTTTCTGCTTCGTATTCGAGATTTACCCGGTTCGAATTTCGGACGAGACACCAAATATTCTTATGATTTTAATGTTTTTCCTCAGAGCTTCCAGAAGAATGCAGAAAGTTTACTTCGGAAGAGGCCACGACTGCTTCTTTCCGAATCATTTCTAATTAATCAATCATAAATTATCGTCATATACATTTACTTTAGCCTAGTTCGTTTATCCACAGGTCAGAGACTTTTTGAACATTTTCATAACAAGCTTATTTTTTACTGTGAGGAGTTGTTAGCTTCATGCCCAACCACCAAGCTGGAGGATCACACATTTTCGGCTGTCCGCAGCTGCTTATTCACTATACAGTAAAACTTGGTTATAGCAACATCGGTTTCTGCGACACCTTGTCTATTGCGTCAAATATTCAATGGTACGAACTAATTCCTCATAAAGCAACTGTTTTTATACCTTGCTTAGTACGACATGCACAAATGCATCAACCTCGTATGTAACGTCATTTTCATTCCTGAATTTCTCTGACATGGACATTGAACGTAATTTAGAAAGTGTGTATTGGACAAGTAACAGGAAACAGATGAAGATAACTGATTACTGTACTCGTATCTAGGTACAGTAAGGCACAACAATTGATGTAATCTACTGTAATTTGGTGAGTAGGCCTACCTTTAATATACAGTATTAGTGCGGTGTGTATTGTCAGTGAAAAGCGCTGTAATATGTCTTTGATATTACACATTTGGGCAATTCCACGTTAATGTTACGTTAGTCTGTACTTAACTACGTATTTCCCTAAAAAATGCAACATTTTAACTCGGTTTTGGTAGATTTTTACGTGACTAACATAAGGCTACTGTGGAAGTGCCAAATTCGGTTACAACGACATTCGTTTATAACGACACTATTTTTAGGTCCCTTTGATGACGTTATAACCGAGTTCTACTGTATTTACAATTTCCTCTATCCGCAACCTGAGGAAACGCCGTGCCGTGGTGACAAAGGACCCACATAGTGCGTAGGTGGGTGGACAGTATTAAAATGGATTTCAGAGAGATAAGATGGGATGGTATGGATTGGATTTATCTGACTCAAGATAGGGACAGCTGGAAAGCTATTTTGAAGACGGTAATGAACCTTCGGGTTCCATAAAATGCTGGAAATTTCTTGAATAGCTGGACAATTTGTGGCTTTTCAAGAAGGGCTCACTTCCATGAAAGGTCAATTATCCTACTGTTCGATGAAAAATGTATGTGTAGTTAAGATACGGAGAGCTTTTGTTAAATAAAATGTGAAGCTATTTCTGCGCTTAATTAATTTATCACTACACCACGAAGACTTACGGAGATTTTAGATTTAGTTCCACTTATTCATAACAACGGAACTAGATGGAAGCGAGTGGTCAGCTTCACGCCCCGGCCACATTAAACCCTGAGAAAGGGTCTCCGACATCAAGTGAATAAAACACTGAGTAGGGGACGATAATGAGAAGAAGAAAATATTTTGCTCTTGCCGAGAACCGAACCCCGAATTCTTGGCTGTCCAAGCCGTGGCCGCAAATATTTGCCTATAGCGTTTAATGGTATGGAGCATGTGGTAGTTGTTTTGATTAATTCTCTACACACGCTTGAAGATTTTGGATTGAGAGCAGTAAATCATAAGTTTCTGTTGGACAGGAGATAGCAGACAACAAAGTTCTTCGACCCATACAGAAATTCTGCACACCGATAAGCAAAGCATGCATATATATATGCAGATTGGCAGGGGAAACCGAAGTACTCGGATAAAACCTGCCTCAACGCCACTTTGTCCACCACAAGTCCCACTTGACCAGAACCGGATCGAACCCGGGCCGCCGCGGTGGGAAGCCAGCGACTAACCGCTTGAGCTATGACACGGCCTTGACATGCTTATTATATTAATCCAGCACATTATGCCAATTTAACTATACATATATATATATGAGGACAATATTTCTATTGTAAAATGCGTCTACTGGCTTCGCCATTGCTGTCTATACATCCGTAACAACTCGAGATCACTTAATGGGTTACATAAAATTTTATATTGAGGAATTTCGTCAAAATTTGCTGAGATATTCCACTTTTGTTTAAATAAAGAACCAGTAACAGACACTTTATGTGATGTTCTGCATGCATTCCTATGCATATCTCGAACGTAAATCGTTAAACATATCTTAAAACAAAAAGTTTCGAAAAATTTTACAGAGAACAAAGAAACACACATTTTATGCCCGATGAATTTTCACGGTTTCCGATAATTAAAGAGATCGAAAACATCAGAATGGTTACGTTTTGCATAAGCCTCTTCATTTGTTTAAGAAATGTGATGGAAATTCATTAATTCATCAATGACTCTACAGCCCTGTGTTGGGTCTTGGTCTCTTCTTTAGTTTACACAGACAGTAGGACCCCTAGGACTGATGATCATCTCGTCGCAAGGCCTATACCTGCACATAGGATAACAGACAGAAAAAACGCACACAAGAACATCAATTACTTGAGTGAGATTCGAAACCACGATCCCAGCTCTCGAGCAAACGAAGACAGTTTATGCCTTAGACCGCGGGGCCACTGTGATCGAAACTATTTATAACCTTTAAAAAAATAACTCAAGATTTTCTGTAAGTTAATTATAATATACAGGATAAAACGCCGTTTAAATGGTTTTAAGTCAAACATTATTGCAAATAAACGTTATAGGGCGTGTTTAGTTTATGCCGACATCCACACTCACTAATGAGAAAAAGTAGTTTCTGAACTGTAAGGAGAATTAACTTGCAGCTAATCTCAAGTTTAATTAACTTCCCTTCAAGTTTACCGTAACTTTCATGAGACTTCACATTTTATTACATCCCTAAAGATCTGGTAGTCTATAGTCTTCCAGTATCACAAGCAACTAATTGAGAAGAGTCCGTCTTGAGAAGTTTATTGTCGCTTAGCTGGTAGGAAATTACTTGCCTTCTCTGAACTAAAAAATTCATTATCCTGTTCACTAAAGCCTACCATTGCTCCCTGGTTTGAACCAGCTTGAATCACTTGAATCCAGTCTAAAACCTCATCCTCTACTTTTTGTGATCCATTTTAATATTATCCTCCCATCTACGCTTTGAGACAGGTGTCTTTTCTTAAATTTTCTGATGAAATATCTGCATTGGTTTATAATCTCCCTAACTCGTGCTACATACTACGCCGATCTCGTCCTCCTCGATTTGATCCTAATAACACAAAGTATGAAGCCGTTTTTTTTTGACATGTAGTCCCGTTTCTAGGAAACTCGGTACAAACCACGTTTTCATGGAGGTGGATTCCTGGACACCAACTCAGTACAAAACAAACTTTTCCGTGTTAATGAATATTCAACAAACACTTCCATGGATACATGCAAGCAAAATTTTCCATGGATACCGCTAAACTATATAAGCGGCCGTTCAGATAAGAACTCATTCTTAGAACTTCCATACGTGTATGATTATATAACAAAATATTGCAGGCAAAGAGCAGAAGTCATACAAAATCATGAAAATGAAAATGTTCGCGACATTCAACTAGGCGAAGCCCGACACAGGAAATATAAGAGATTTAAATTTGATGGCTGTCAAGCACACGACCGTGCAAGTGACTAGACTGCAGTTGTAGCAGAAGCTACAAATGATAGGGCATGATCTGCTATACTGAGCACCACATAAACAAGAGAGTAACTTTCAATCAAAAATAAATATCTAGTCACGAGCCCCAGACGAGGCTCGACACCAAGACAGACTGACTGATTGTCAGCTGCAATGTAACTTTGATTTTGATTTGAGAACGCATTCAGTACATTCGTAATTCATTTGTAAGTTAGTCACAGTAGAAGAAAGGCTAGAAGGGCAGACAGCCATAATGGAGCGAGTCGTAGGCAGTCATGTTGTAATTGACTGTGATTAAGAGATATTGCAAAAATGGCGTCAATAAATCAAATAATCCAATCCAAAACCCGTTATTATTAGTCAAGCAGTCGTAAACACGTAAAGCAAATGTCACGTAACTTCGAATAATGCCAAGAGTAACCTTGAATGCGCAGAAGAAAAACTGTACAACTGGCCGCCTGTCACTTCTCACACCCTCGAACCCACCCCCTTGTCTGAAAATTTTCTTCTGCGCATTCAAGGTTACTCTTGGCCTTGTTCGAAGTTACGTGAGACTTGCTTTAACGATATAACTGTTTCCATACTACCCTTACTTTCTGTCTCTTAGGCCCGAATAATCTCCTATGTACCATGTTCTCAAATATTTTCAATGTTTCCTTAGTGACAGAGACCACTTAACAACCATACAAAAGCCAATACGTATAGATAGGATACAGGAAGAAAAGTAATTCTGAACTAAACAACAGCAAACGTTCCCGAGATTCAGTTGGGTCTCAATATTTTGTGAATACAATTTTGAACTTGCTGTGTTGCAGGGATGCAGAACCTGTCTATCTCTTGTGCGCTGGTGTGCCTCATAATTCTGGGGTCCTCGGCGCTGGTCGGAGCTTTCGGGGTGCTGAAACACCAGATCAGTGCCGTTCTCGTCACAGGCGTCATGTACTTGCTGGCAGGTCAGTCACTGATCCTCTTCTTCAAGTCTCGCGTATGAACTTCTTTCAAAAAAAGTGAACAAATGGATATCGCCATGTTATTCAATCGGTTTTCTTGAGGAAAAAATGGCTATTGCCTATCTCGGGACGCGTCAGCATGGAATATGCAATCAAGAAGGAGTGTGTGAAAGACGGAGCGTCTTAGCAAAGGGCGTCAGTCTGACAGAGGACACATGATGTGTAACTGGGACTATTGTACTGTCAATACAGTAAGTATAAGATGGAACATATGAACACAGACCAATTTGGAGAAACCGTTTGGACATGATGAAATATATCGAATTTGATTTTGCACTTTTAAAGCTCTTCCTATAGCAGGCTGTGAAGACCCGTAGGGTTGTGAGACGTAAAGGCTCCCACATTTTCTAGACAGTCGGCTCACAGATGGCGTTAAGGTTGTCAGCCTTACGCGCCGGCGGTTCTTTACCCTCCACGCAGTTTCCTCATTTCTGTTAGAGGCTGAGTCGACCGCAGGACCATAGTGCTGCCGGAAGGATTAGATCAATTGAAGAATCCACCTCATCGGGACTCGAACTTACGACCTTCCAGGTTGTAACATAAGGCCTCAACCAACCACGCCACCAGAACTTAACCACTCCGAGATCGAGGAAGGCCTTGGAAAAAATACTTATATTAATTTGGAACAGGCTTGATAAAGAATAGGTCCTTTACACTGTTTGAGACTGCATTTATTATTTAAATATATTTATTTATTCAAGTTCATTTAATACCCCTTTCAAGATAGGATAGGATGAATCGTGAATAATGAATTGGAAATGCAGTGGAAGGAAAAGTGAGGAGCATAATTTGAGGTACTGAGGAAAACCACGAGAAACGTGTTAGGATAACTAATCTCGATGATGAAATTTGAACTTAGGACCTCGAGAGTATGAAGCAGGCTCACTATCCACCGTGACGGTCTGTGTACTAGTCAAAGAATTTAGAAACTCCTAGTTAGAAATACGAATTGACTGCAAGAGAAGAGTGCTGTCTTCTGGGACATAACCCAGAGAAGTCCGTTGAAAGTTATCCGACGTTTCGGAGGAGCTTTACACCTGCTTTCATGTTGGTTCCTTTCTCGGCTTATTCGACCCTGAAAATGGAGGTGATATGTTCCTCCGTAAGGTCGGCTGACTTTCAATGTAACAACAGCTGTGAGAACCACAAATCCTATAATTTGATCATAATTTATGTTTAAGTATGAATATTTATAATGCAAATAAATGCAGAAAGTCTATACTCTTAAGGCTGAAATTAATTATGTATAGTACTTCAGCAAATTTAGACAATTCTAAAGTGGTGTCGATATTCATATGTTTCCGACACTGATACGAAATTGTATACTCGTATCATATGACACATATGACATTGGGGGCACGCAGTAGCGTAGTGATTGAGGCACTATGCTACAACCCGGAAGGTCGCGGGATCGTATCCCGATGAGGTCATTGGATTTTTTCAGTTGACCTAATCCTTCCAGCCGCACTTTGGCCCTGGAGTCGACTCAGCCTCTAACAGAAATGAGTACCAGGAGTATTCTTGTGGGTAAAGGGCGGCCGGCACGTAAGGCTGACAACTTTACTGCCATCTTTGAGCCGATTGTCTAGAAAATGTGGGACCCTCAACATCTCACAACGCTATGGGCCTCCATGGCCTGTTACAGGGATACCTTTATTTTTTTACTTTTTATCATGTGACATCTCTATTGTTACCAGAATAACAAACCCTAAGCGTGCAACAATTCCTGATTATCCGCTGCCAAATCCCAGATTGCAGGATAGACGACCCAATTTTAGTCCATCACAAGACAGAACCTTATTGATTTTCTTCCTTCACAGGGTCTCCGCCTACATGCACTCTCTGAGAAGGAAAACGTGGGATTTTCAGAACAAACTTATTGTTTTGATATTACACTATGCTTAATTTGAATTAAAAAAAAATTCTTCTGAAAATATTTGTTCATATGAAGACACACGGTTGGATGATTTAAAAGATGACACCGGTACGTCTGTTTCGCACTGCAATAATGATCCATGGAAAGAATTGTATCGATGAACGATTAAATAGCCATTTCTGCATAGTTTGTTCATTTTGAGATTATAATTTTCTATATTAAAAAGCGTTGGATATTCCCTACTGAAAAGCCCTTGACATAGTTGTTGAGAATTCTAAATACGAAGGAACTGATTCTCGAGCACAAAGACACCTAAAACATATATTTAGGCTTTAATAAATTTATTAAATAAATTCGTTTTAATCACTTGAACATTTATTACTATTATTTTTTAATTATTCTTCCAGCCCATTCAGGGCTCTGGCCTCTTATTCATTTCCGTAATCATTTTTCAGAGTTGGTAGGACGCCTTGAAAGAGTGATCACCTCGTCTCAAGGCCACTACCTAAACGCAGGATAACACAAACTCAGAATAAACGCACACATACACCAAACATCCATGACCTGAGTGGGATTTGAACCCACGATCCCAGCGTCCGAGCGAGCGAAGACAATTCATGCCTTATACCGCGCGGCTACTGTGACTGATATATTTATTATTTTTTTTCCTTGGCACTACAGCCCCAGTGGGTCTAGGCCTACCTCCATGAACTTCTCCGTTCACCTCGCTTTTTCTAAATTAGACATTCGGTAGGACTCCTTGGGCGGGTGATCAGCTCGTCGCAAGGCCTCTACCTGTACACATACACAGAAAAACGCATACACACAGACTAAACAACCATGCCCTGAGTGGGATTCGAACCCACGATCTCGGTTTCCAAGCGGGCAAAGATAGTTCATGCCTTATACTGCGCTGCTCCTGTGACTGACATATTTATTATTAGGCCCTGGGAATTATATTTAAATATAAATATAGATCTTTATTCCGACGAACGAACTTACATTGCTAACCCTACGCAAAAGACGAGGGTTGCAGTAGAGCCAGGGAGGTTCAGGGCGTCGCCCCGGGCTTTTTGTGTATAGGGGCGTCACCCTGATACATATTTAACAAGAAGTTCTAGAAATAACTACTCCTCTACTTTGATTTCGTTATAATTTAAGTGTCTGATAACGAAAAGTAGACAGAAAACTTTAGTATGCGTGCCTAATGAAATCAACAAAACAATACATTTTGAGAGTGTTATATTTTAGCGTCCTGTTGCACTGATTTAAGTCCATGATTTATTTTATCCGTCTTCTAGTGCATACATTCATCTATCCCCTCTTCTCACTCTCACTACATGTTTCGGCACAAATGTGCCATCTTCAGGTGCTGATCCAATCCACGAAAAACTAGTTCATTGCATGCCTTGTCTTTTTCAAACATGTCTTATTAAAATTTATATTGGCATTGCAATGTAATAGTTTACGTTTACAATTCATGTATTGGTATACGCTTCTAGTATGACTACTATTAATAATGTTATATTTTAGCGTCCTGTTGCACTGATTTAAGTCCATGATTTATTTTATCCGTCTTCTAGTGCATACATTCATCTATCCCCTCTTCTCACTCTCACTACATGTTTTGAGAGGTTTGAATGTTGGTATTATTAATGGAAGTAATTTATAAAGTACATGGTTGAGATGAGCTCAGGTGTCATGATATACATATCAAGTTTCACAAAAACTGATTCAGGCATTCGAAATTTGTTAAGAGGGATATACATATTGATACACATACAGACACACGGACATACAGAGAACAAAGTGATCTAATAAGCTTACTTTAATTTTTATTTATTTATTTATTTTTTTTTGGAAAAGAGGAAGTGGGTTAAAAACAGTGGCATCAAACATAAATAAATTGTGGAGTGTTTAATTCCAAATCTCCCCTCTTTGAGGTGGAAGAATTTTCTTTAATTTTCTTTAATTATGTTAGATGTTTGTCGTCCAATTCTCTGCTTAAATATATGAGTACATCATTAAATAATAAATTAATGGTCTCATTTTGAGATTCCTGTTCTTTCGTTTCAACACGAAACTGAATATAAGATCATCAAGGTACTTTTATTTTTAGTAATAACCCTTTCCAAATAAGGGGCTTGGTTTGTTCTGACATTAGTGACTAATATTACGGTAAGTAATTGGTTATGATTGCAAATAAACTGCCACTTTATCTGAAACTGGAAAATGAAAAAAAGTACGTATACTAGAGCTTAAAATATCGGGATTTGATTGAGGAGAATATCTGGACCACAGAAGGAAGGAGAAAACTACATGAAGAGACACCCCATGTTTGTACTCATCGCCGAACGTCATAAAAGTAACAAAATCAAGGAAGATGATTTGGGTGTAAAATGAAGCATGCATGGAGCAGAAATAATTGTAACATTTTGGTCGGAAAATCCGAATGAAAGGGACCGCCTAGAAAACTGAGACGTAGATGAGCGGACAAAACTTGAAGTTCTGAGAACGGCTAATCGTCCGCTTTCCTTTGATACGACACGGATCGAATATAAAACGAAAAAATTACGGAGAGGGAGAGTATACAGACACAGACAGTAAGATGATCTCCTAATCCTCCTTTTAGTTTTTCAAAAATTAAGGGGGAAGGGAAATACAGACACACACAAGGACATCGTCGAATTTCCTTTATGCCCCTGAGAGATTATGTTATTTGTGAAGGTTGTTGGTATTCGGTGTAAGATAGTCTTGTGTGATTTTCGTGGAGGATGGATGGTTAAAAAAGCTAAGAGGTTTAATAAATTTGAACCAGAATTCAGCTAAAATTTAGACCTAATTGCAAACAAGTTTTAGCAATATTTCTGACCGCATCTGTGGGCTAGTGAACAGAGTTCCTGCCTACAGATCCAGAAGTCCCGGGTTTCCCGGTTCTACCAGAATTTTTTTTTTAAATAATGGGTCTGAAAAGGGGTCCACTCAGCCTAATGAGGATAATTGAGGAGCTATTTCTATGAAATAGCTACTCCGGTCTAGAAAACCGAGATTAACGGCCGTGGGGATCCTTTGAGCTTCCCACGGGATACCCTCTATCCGTAAAAGTTGGCACTAACTTCGTCGACAAGAAGCGGTCGCTCTGTCGGTATAGTTCACTTGCGGAATACACGCTACGGAGTTTTTTGGTTTGGATTTTAGCAACATTTTAAAACAAAACATTTCAAACAATACGGTAGAGCATCAAGTATATAATCTACATGATAATGACCTTACAACATCGAGAAATATTGTAAAAGAAACAGCTATAATAATTGACAACTTAGGACACGACCAGTCTGGGATTACAAGAAATTACACCACCAAAACTGTTCATGCGAATTAAATCATATGATTTATTTTGTCCATACTGACCGATAACGAATTGATAAGCTCATATTTCGCAAGTTGTAATGTTTCAACACTGATCCATGTTCCAGCAACTTTTGCCATCTTCACCCTGACCATCATTCATTTCAAAAGACAACAGACGAAGCAGAAACCAGAGAAGACGGCAGCAGACTGTTTGCTCACTGGCGGTGGTCTGTCCACGCTGATAGACGGAGTGTCGCCTTCTAGTTCAGCGGTGCTGGCCCACGTGCAAGTGGACGCCGACATTTTCACGGCTCGAGTGTTCACAACGTCCTGGAGCTTGGACCTGGGCTGGGGAGGCGTCACCCTCTGCGTCCTAGCCAGCGTCCTCTGGATCCTACTTTCCAAGATCATGAGATACAATCCTCTGTCCACACTGTTTACATAGTAATTAACGTGACCCAGGGCTTGGATCTAAATCAAGCTCTGGGTATTTATTTCGTGATTCTTCAAAGCCCTCAAAATATATCGTGAGCATCAATATTCTGTCCATGAAATTCATGAAGTGAATCCTTAATTTCTATACTAACGATTGAAAGCGATCAAAATGTGACACAGAAAGTCCTCTTTCTGGTATATAACACCCTTCAGTCCGCTGAAAGTCAAACGACCGCTTGTTACCTGCTTTATACTTGGTTCCTTGCCTGGCTCATCCTTCGACATTGAAGATCGAGGCTACATGTTCCTCCGAAACTTCGGTTGATTTTCAGCAGTCTACATCTTCTCTGTGGTCTAGTGGTCAGAGTTCCTGGCTACAGATCCAGAAGTCCGGGTTCGATTCCCGGCGTTACCACATTTTCTGAGAAGTAGTGGGTCTGGAACGGGGTCCACTCAGCCTCGTGAGGATACTTGAGGAGTTATTTCATGGAAATGCCGGCTCCGGTTTAGAAAACCGAAATTAACCGCCGTGGGTGTTCTTTGTGCCGACCACGCGACATCCTCTAACCGAAGAATTTGGTACCAACTTCGCCGACAAGCGGCGGTCGGTCGGTCGGTATAGTTCACTTGCGGGCTAGAACCACGGAGTTCATGACCATTCCTAACCACTGCTGTGAGGACCTCAGATCCTACACAGTGCCACAGTGCGATGTACTTGCTGCAGCATGCCGCTATATTTTCCCTCATATTGTTGTTCCTAAATTTTTAACTGTCGTAAATTGTATGCACTTATAAATATGAAGAATTTCTAGCACAAAAAAAATGGATTGGATAATAATAGAGAAACAATTAAATATGCATATCTATGCCAATGCCACGACGTTGCTACATCTACTAAATCAACTGAAAATGTTTGAAGGCAGCGCCTAAGTGTCTAGTTACAACGATAGATACAATCAAGTTTATGATGAAATCTGGAAAACAATAAGTTATGAAAATGCTTGTTATTACGTATTTCAAAAGCCATGATCAATCCGTCTTCTTTCTAAAGACTGGTGATCAAGATACATGAAACAATAATCTAGCCAGTGATGGGTATTGATATGAAATTTTGTCTTTTACATCGAGAGAAGAAATAAATAACTGATATGTAATATCACATTATATTGAACATCGGAATTTATACAAGTTACTGTAGTATGGCCTGGACGGTGAATTAAACTAGGTTAATGTAAGCTAGGTGTGTATGTAGACTTGCTGGGAGAATAATATTAAGATCGATCCTAAAGAAATAGGGATTGAGGATGGGAGATGGACTAAACTGGCTCACGATCATATCCAATGATGAGTTTTGGCTTTGCTGATATTGAAACTAAGGGTTCTGTTACTAGTTATTTAAACGATTATTGAGTAATTATCTTAGATCCATTTACATTAAATTTGGAGCAAGGGCTTAGATATTATGGGGCGTTGAAAGAGGCTCCACGGAGGCCAATCCCCCAACTCCAAGGGGATCTCTTTTGCCTGCAGGCTGCGCTATTATTAAATATTGATATTAAACACTCTGTCATTGCATTATGATGTATCAGTCTCAGTAATAAGATAAAATATATAAATAAAAAATGAAGTTATACAATAGTGATTAAAAGTTACGTAAAATTTTATTGATTAAAACTCACGCCATTTAAATTCGCATCCCTGATACTATCCGCTCTAAGCAACAGGACTAAGCTCTTATAGTGTGTTTTGGGTTGACTTTGGGCGAGATTTGAGTCTGGCATATTGTGACGGATCTGCCCATTGATAGGCAACAACTCAGTATACACGAACACAAAATCATAGGGGCTGTGTTCTCTGTGGACCGTGCTACAACTCATTGCTAGGTAACACAATAATACTCGATAAGATAAGGTGGTCCCCATGGAGTCCGACCCGAGATTATTTAATGAGAGTCTGTTTGTAATATACAAAAGACAGACCCGTCCTCTCATCAGGGAGGGCGTGCCACAAAAACAAGACCGTAACTGTCAAACAGTAATAAATAACTGGTCATGAGCCCCAGGTGGGGCTCGACACCAAGACTTACTGACTGACTGACCGTCAGTCGCAATGTGACTTTGACTTGAAATAGGGGGATTGGAGAATTAGAATTAGGATAATTAGAGTCAGAAGGAGAATGAGTAGGAGGGAATACAACGGAGAATGAGAATGAAAATGGAGGGTGACCTAGTGAATTGAGAAATGAGTAGATTAGCGAAAGCGCTGTAATTGTAATTATGAGAGACTGTAAAAAAATGTGTCAATAAATCCAATCATCCAATCTAGAACCTATTATTATTAGTCACGGAACCCCGAACACATGACAACATAATCATGTACCAGGGTGGCAAACTCTTAAGTAGAACTGGGTCCTAAAATATTTGCGACCGGGGTACTTATATCCCAGTTAGTTCAAGATCTTATTTTTCATTTTCTACCAGCAAACTGGATGAAACAGACAGAGTAATAATACGTCAAGGATTAGTATTAATGATCATATGCATAGTTTGCTAGCGACATTACCTTCATAGAACTCAGACCGACACATGAGAATATATACAGCGCCGTAATAATAATAACAAGCAATGGCCTTAAACAGCTATCAGAAACAAGCATCAAAGACGATTTCATTTCAAATTAAATGAATTTTGCTGTAAGGCTGCAACTGTCATTGCTATGATAGCATTTAAGGTCTATACTTTTTTTTTTGCAAGTGAAGCTGTCCACAAACGTTGAAAGATTTTTTGGAAGTGTAACTACTAGTTCCAACAACAACAACAACAACAACAACAGGGCGTCAGGCTGCTGGTCAGTGGCAACGTTCAGTTGCAAACAGTCAAAAATAAACACACAACGAAGAGGGCGTGGCGTTATGAAGCCACGTTACCTATTTTCATACAAAACCTCACATAAATGAGGCAACGAATTTTTAAATAAAATTTGGAGAACAATGTTTCATACTTAAGCGTTTTGTACCTAATGACTCTGTACAATATAAACAAAGATTCCTTCTACCTCCATGCCCTCTTCACTGGTCTGTAATTATCTCTGTGTCCCCTAGTCCAGCGATTCACAATTTTTTCATCTTGCCACGTCCCCCTCACTCCACCATTTTGTCAAAAAAGTATTCCTACCACAGTGAAAGCAAAGTTTATATTTTTTAAGAAATATATTTTTTGCAATGAATAAATTATTAATGGAAGTTCTCCGGTCTAGAAAACCGAGATTAACGGCCGTGAAGATCCGTTGCCCTGACCACGCGACACCCTCTTTCGGCAAAATTTAGCACTAACTTCACCGACAAGCGGCAGTCGCTCGGTCGGTATAGTTCGCTTGCGGACTGCAGGCCACGGAGTTAGTTAATTATCAATGAAAATTCTCACATCCCAGCCGCCAGACGACAGTCAATTGTCACCAATGGGACGGAACTCTGCGGTTGAGAAACACTTGTGTATAGTGTTGCTGCTGGTATATATGCGCCTGTTTGACTGCAGACATGGCCCCGAGATGAAAGTACTTTCTCGACTCTGAATAATGGTGTGTGAGTCTTGGTAGAGGGGTCTGAATTCTGTTTGCTTTCAGTAACATTCTTCTGTAAGACGAATAACAGGAAATGAAGATTCATATGATGAGTTTATGAAGTGAATAATCATGTATTTTAACCCTTTAAAGCATAATAGTTGTATATTTTCGCCTGTTTTAATATTAAGAAAACGATCAGGCTAATGTAGCGGTAACTCTCTAGATTTGTATGCAGGCGGTGCTCGTTTCGATTCCCGGCCAAGACATAGGCTATACTGAAGAATGGGTTTAGTCATTTTTCTGTCCCTCCAGGCAAATACCTGGATAATACCTCACTTATACCACGGAGGTATCCTTCCAAATATTTTCCAATATAATCCGAGATACTGATAGCTTCATAAGGTACAGAAAAATAAAAATCTCTGCCTATTGTTCACATACTGTACTTTACTTCCTGTGTATGTTTCTCAGAGCAAGAGGTGTTTATTTCCGCAATAAACACTAACCGGTTGCCTTATGTATTGGACAAGCGGTATGTTTTCTGTGAAATAAGACCTGGATTTTAAGTATGGTTAGGTTTGCGCAGTAGACTTGTCCGCATCAATGAGTAACTGCTGTTAAGTTAGGTTAGGTGAGGTGACGTGACTTGGCGTGACTAGGCGTGACTTGGCGTGACTTCACTTGACGTGACTTGACGTGACTTGACGTGGCTTTACATGACTTGGCGTGACTAGTAGTGACTTGACATGACTTGGCGTGACTGACGTGACTTGACGTGACATGATGTTACATGGCGTGACTTGGCGTGACTCGACGTGACTTGACATTGCTTGACGTGACTCGGCGTGACTTGGCGTGATTTGAAGGGAGGCGAGGCGAGACGGGTCTAGGCGAAGCGAGGCGAGGGTAGGCTAGGCTAGGTTAGGTTAGGTTAGGTTGGGTTAGGTTGGGTTAGGTTAGGTTATGTTAAGTTAGGTTAGGTTATGTTAGGTTAGGTTATGTTGGCGCAGTAGACTTTTCCGCATTAATGAGTAACTGCTGTTAAGTTAGGTTAGGTGACATGAGGTTGGGTGACTTGGCGTGACTAGGAGTGACTTGGCGGGACTTGGCGTGACTAGCCGTGACTTGACTTGACGTGACTTGACCTGGCTTGACATGACTTGGCGTGACTAGTAGTGACTTGACATGACTTGGCGTGACTGACGTGACTTGACGTGACATGATGTTACATGGCGTGACTTGGCGTGACTCGACGTGACTTGACATTGCTTGACGTGACTCGGCGTGACTTGGCGTGATTTGAAGGGAGGCGAGGCGAGACGGGTCTAGGCGAAGCGAGGCGAGGGTAGGCTAGGCTAGGTTAGGTTAGGTTAGGTTGGGTTAGGTTGGGTTAGGTTAGGTTATGTTAAGTTAGGTTAGGTTATGTTAGGTTAGGTTATGTTGGCGCAGTAGACTTTTCCGCATTAATGAGTAACTGCTGTTAAGTTAGGTTAGGTGACATGAGGTTGGGTGACTTGGCGTGACTAGGAGTGACTTGGCGTGACTTGGCGTGACTAGCCGTGACTTGACTTGACGTGACTTGACCTGGCTTGACATGACTTGGCGTGACTAGTAGTGACTTGATATGACATGGCGTGACTGACGTGATTTGACATGAATTGACGTGACTTGACGTGACATGGCGTGACTTGACGTGACTTGGCGTGACTCGACGTGACTTGACGTGACTTGACGTTGCTTGACGTGACTCGACTTGACTTGGCGTGATTAGAAGGGAGGCGAGTCGGGATGGG